CGACCGATAAATACCAGTGCCAGCCTGTTCGAGGATTAGTCTCAGTATTTCTTTCCGTCCACGTGAAAAGTTTCCGTTGGATCACCGCACGGTGCTCGGTGGATCTTCTAGAGAGTTGTTTCGCGTGTGATCCGAAAATGGTCTGGGACGACGGAGTGTCCGTCAAGGAGCTGATCGAGATGCGGAAAAAGACGCCGCGGTTCCCGTCGAGGGAACGGAACTTTGCGATGAGGAGACGCGGTGGCAGAAGAACGTTTTCCGGGGGCTTGGGAAACGCGTTCCCCATCCCTGGCCCGCCGCCACCCGACATTCAGGAAGAGGAGCGCAACGATTACGTCACCGACGACTCGTCCAACAATAACGTGCCCAACGAGTAAGATCTCCTACGTTCGATAAGATAGGCGTATATCCTCGCTGGAAATAATCGAGAAAGAAATATCTCAGAAGAGGCTTTAGGTATACGGTCGAAGTCGCAGCTGTTCATTTTGGAGGATCGTCGCGGATGATTCATCGGGGAACGTGGCTTTCATTCTCCTTGGCATTTCGTCTTTCACGTTCACGGTGGCTGAATCACTCGGGACGATTATTCAAACTGAAGGGCATAAATTCTATTTAGAAGCAGCTAGAAAACGTCGATATTTTAGTAGAAGTTACCGCGCAACTTGTCGACGAAACAGGCACACGATCGAGGGCTAAGATCGATGGTCTCTGGCGTACGAGAGGGGATAGATGTGTTGCATCGATGGCCATAATAGATGTCCTTGTCACTTCAGTTATTCAGGTGTTGTGTGCGTCCGGAGTGAATGGTGTAGGCAGAATCATCGGTAGAACGTCAACATCTCGTCTTCGGAAAAGTATAATTAGATTCTCCTGTGAAAATGCTCGACCTCCTCGGTCATGGCTTTTGATAATTTACTGTAATCCGACGTTGCGTTATCAACCCGGATATTAGTAACTACGGTAATGTCCCTCTAATTGACGCTCAGATTCTCCACAAAAATGGACAATTTGGGAAGAGGAGATGCGATTATATATTCCTTGACAATTCGTAGCTATGAAAACGAACCGCAAGGCTCGAATAATCGTATCTTCTCTTCCAAAATTGTCCATTTTTGTGCGCAATCCGAGCGTCAAGTTAGGAAGACATTTTACTGTGGATGAATTTCGTTACCTTTCTGCTCGAAATTCGGAAGAGCGCTCACGCGCCGTTCGGTCTTGCAACATGCTATCAATCTTGCAGTCGTTCGCTTTCTCCGAGACGCGAACGATTGTAAACCGAGCAAGAATTAGGAGCGTTTTGTCTCCCGAAACACTTATTGCTATCGTTTAAATCCTGCGGCACGTAACACGTGTACCTGTCTGTTAACTATTGGTAAAACAGCGTCCGGAAGGCGGTAATTTATCACGAGAAATGGGCGTGCAGTTTGGTTGCAAGATTGACGTCAGGGCCTGTTAAAATGAGTTATCGCCGCAAATGGGTCGGGATACAGGCGGTTCAACGACGCGACGTTCCCCGGTGTTCGGATTTAATGGGGTCGTAAAAGAAATGCCGGGGACAGTAATCGGTCACCTCTTCATGGTTCACGAACCGTTATTAGCGGCTGACCGCTATCAATCGCGCGTCGTTCTCCCCACGAATTCCTCGGAGCGATAAGCCGATAGATGGTAAAACGCGACAGTGACCCGATCCGTCGGAAAATTCTCTCGTACACAAGTTCGAATTATCGCCGAGCTCGTGAACATGACTGAGAAAGATATTTCTGGGCGGTGTGTGCGTCAATCCCCGTTTACATTTCCGCGGATTTCGTCAACGTCAATCTGTAGCGCAGTTTCGCGGCCCAGGAATTAACCGGGCAGGAATCTCGAACGTTCCGCCGCGAATTTATCGGCGAGCAGCCTTTCCAGGTCGATTTTGCAACGCCGTTTCGCGCGTCCACAGCCGGCCGACTCTCGAGACTTTGCGTAATCTCGCAAATCGCTCGGGGACGCGAAGTCCTCTTATCGCGATCTCTTCTGATTCACGGTCGCGATTTATCGGCGACGTCGAGTCGCGCGCAGCACTCTTTGCACTTCGTCGTTCTCGCCCCAGCCAATGTCTCTATCGAAATCCACGCGAGAACGGAAAGACGGTCTGTACAGTGTCACGGTATAGACGCCGCTCGAAATTAAGGGGGAAAGCTTATTGTTACAGAGCCATCCGCGGCTTGTTCTCGCCCGGCCTCGAGCTAGCTCGAGAACCGCGGCAAAGCCAAAATATATGACCCCGTCAGATAAATCTTACTCACGTCCGTACCAGAATAAGTCACCGACTCATTGCCAAGGTGATTCGAACTCTGTTCCCGGTAGCGTTCGATCTCGCATCCTCGGCCCACCTTGCCGTGCACCGTCGTCGTTTATTTGCACAAGTCTTTTGCCGAGCGGTGCCACACGAGTCGCGAAACTTCCGGGATGCGTTCCGTTTCCGATCCGAATAGATCACTGCGGACCTTAGACCTCTTTGTTCTCAACGATCTTTTCATTCCCCGTTTCTCGTCGAAGCTGTACTCTCCAATTGTTTCACGGATTTTTACGACGCTCGAAACCATCAACAGCTTCATTAACCCATTAACTTGTACGCTCGAGTTAATTCGAGCGCGCTAAACAGGCCATACTGTGCACACTCGAGATAATTCGAGCGGCGTTGTATTTTATGCTGCTATAATTCTTCACACTCGAATATAATCGAGAATTGAAAGTAACAATGTGAAAGCAAAGAAAAAAAGATCGTTTTATTGATATTTATCATTTACATGGGATTGTAAGCTGTAACACATTTATTCAAGAATAAAATATAGCTTTTTTCCATGGAACAAAAGCGCAGTATATACAATTCTCCACCAAAAGAAAAGTTGAATCAGGGGCTATATCAACGGCTATATCTTCTTCTGAACTATCTTCATACAATTTTTTACATAAAAAAATTGATTTTTTTTGGCCGGTTTTCTTAAAAAGAAACTGTGCGTTAAGGGGTTAAAGTACTTATCGTAGCCTTAACATCTTGCGCTACGATGTCTTTCTCAGATACGTTGATTAACTATTATTCGTTTTTAATAAATGTCTGCACGAGGGAGAAAATTGATATTCATTGTACGATATGAGGAAGCGACGAATATAAACAACGGTAAAGTTTGAACTTTCAGTGCTACTTTAACGCTGCAACTATCAAACCACTCAAAATAACTGGTCTTCGACTTTTTCTTTTACGATTTCTGACATTATGAAGAAGTTTCTGTGAGAAATTTTTATATAAACTTCTTCATTCGACCATGTGTTATAACAGAAATCCTACAAAGTTTAAGTAAATCAAATATTGTCATTGTTACAAAACAATATACATTAGTCGCGGTTAGGGTTCCAGTGTTAAAGAAGCGAATAACATCAATATTTATGTCACGAGTCTGACACGTTTAAGTGACAGGAGTTAAAGAGAGAGAATCAAGTCCAGCGGTAGGACCTTCTAGAATCTAGGACCTTATAGAGCTTAGCAGCAGGATCTTACCTCCTCGAATCGATCGCGCGACGTCGGCGAGTAGAGCAGCGTTTTCACGCGTCGATTCGAGCCGGTGTTCTCGCGGATCCAGCGGGAAATCCAAAAGCGGACGCGCGTGTTTACGACAGGCTGTCTTGCGTGTCGCGACTCTGGCCAACCATGCCAAACTCTTGTCGAGTTATGTCATGCTTTCGCGGCGATTCTGCGCAGCCTTCTTCTAGCCGCGGCCGCGGCCGGCTCGAAATCTCGCGTTATTAGCAAAGCCCGGGTCTTACGTAAAGCCGAGGAACGAAACGCGCGTCCACGGCAGATCCGACGGTTTCCATTGGAAATGAGGCGTGAACTCTCCGGGTGCGTTCACCCCGGGGTTCATATAACGAGCGATTAAAAGAAATTCCAAGACCGCCCGATGCAGATGTTCCCCGTCGGAGTTTATAGGAGTTGAACAGGAAACAGCGTTTAGCTCGGTTTATTCCGCAAAATTTGAAGCAGAACGATACCCCGCGCGAGCTATACACTCCGGTTATGTTCTACCCGGCAGAGGATATTCTCGAGAGATAACGCGTGCTCGTCTCTTCCGCGTCCCGGTGAAACCGTGTCCGCGTTGCATAAAACGGTAATCGCGATAATTAAAGCAGAATGGCGGACAGAAACTTATCTTCTCGGGGAGCGTATCTTAATAGCGAACCAGGGCGACGGTAAGCGCGCATTTATCTTCGCGTAACTATGTTGCTCCATAATTTCTCGTGCTGTTTGAGCCGCGCGTCTCGCTGCGCTGGAAACGGCAAATGGGACGTGTTTTGCGAAACGCGCCGCGATTCTACGCGACGCTGCCACGTGGCCGCGGCTGAACACGCTTGTCCGGGGCAGTTAAATACGGATCTGCGTGCCGCCGGGGCATTTGCCGATCGTCGGAAACTGTAATTTATTTATTTCATTGTGTACACTGTGGTAAACACTCATTTTTACAACAACGAAAGCAAAACTTACGATCAGAGCACGGGTTTTCGTGCAAGATGTAAATTGTCTGCGACAGTTGCAAGAAACGGAAACTAAATAGCAAGCTCATTCCTCGTTTAACAGTTTTGATAAGCCATCGACATTTGAAAGTTCTTTTAATCTTTTTATCATTTTAAGTTTGATTTATTCAATTTTACCACAATTTACCAGCATTTACGATTAAATGACGTTGTATTAGCGAATCGTGTAAGCAGTTTATAAAGTATGGTAACATTGGTCGCAAATATGTCAACCCGATCATTTTATTATTTATGAATGTATATGTTCCGTAAAATGTGTCACATCGAACTAAATGTAGACGAGTACAGTAATGTCTCCCATACTGACGTTCAAGTTGTGTACAGAAATGGACAATTTGGGAAGAGGAGTTACGATTATTCGAACCTTGCGACTCGTTTTCATAGTTGTTGACAATCGATAACCATAAAAAACGAGCAACAAGGCTCGAACAATCGTATCTTCTCTTCCAAAATTGTCCATTTTTGTGGACAACCTGAGCGTCAGTAAGGGAGACATTACTGTATTGTGAGGTTAAAAAAGGACAGGGCCGACCTCGCAAAACGAGTTGGAGCATTAGAATTTACAAGCGATGTAACGCTAAGATTGTTAAGCGCACCATGTACGACTATATATATACGGAAAAAAGATCCGCAATGATTCTTCCGGCTCGAGAGAACGTATATTCGGCGCGTACGTAGTCGTGGTCCAATCTCAAAAACGGTTGACCATATTAGTCGCGCCGTCGCAAATGAAACATAGCACGACTTCGTGTTCGAGCGATAAAAATTAATCTTCGTTACGCGGTATTGGGGGGATCACTTCTAGCTTGCCATTTTTTAATGCCTACGAACCGCTTCCAGTGGAAAGCATCTACGGCGACGCTGAAGTACGCTGAAAATCAACGAATGCTTCCAAACTTTCGGTCCAGCAGCGTGACCCGATTGTTCCGCTGCGTTTAACAAGCGAGATCCAGCGAAAAAATTCCACTGTTTGCTGCGAACGTCGAAAATGTTCCACGGTACGCGCGGACAACCGGAACAAACGAGGGACACGATGCCCGATCGGCGCAATCGAAAGCGCTGATAGCGGAATGCCGGAGCGTCGTTTTACACCGCGATTTACACGCTCGACACCTTTTTTTTATCGAATCGCCGGAGCGTAATCGTTCATTTCCTTGGAAGCAAGGATAACGGCCACGACTCGTCACAGGATTCGCCGATCGGTTCCTGAATCGATCTCTACCCGGACGGTTTCGGTGTCTTCTGCTGACGCGTGTATCTCCCGAAGGGATTCTCTTGATCGTCTCCGGGGTGGGAGGCGTTGGAAAGGCATCGCGGGACGATCGTGTTCCTCGGAGGGTGGCCCTTGCGCTCTGAAGAGGGTTGACAGGGCTGGAAACGTCGAATCGATGATTAGGGATATGCAAAACACGTTGAAGATATTGTAACAGAAAAATTGTATGATTGAGGCAAGATTGGAAAAGCTGAATCAGTGATTAAAGGATGAAGCACATTTACAGACAAATGTAAACAACTACAAGTTGTGTCAACTGCAAGTCAGTGGTAATACAGTAAATTCTCCCCAGTTTTCCTTCAACTTGTAAACAAAAATGGACAATTTGGGAAGAGGAGATAAAATGATTCGACCCTCGCGGTTTATGTTTATAGTTGCCGATTGTCAACAATTATAAAAACGAGGTGCAAGCTTCGAATAATCGTATCTCATCTTTCCAAATTTAGAGGGAATTTATTATATTACCATTGACTTTCTTTAATTGGAATATATCTTAATACTAAACTTACCAAATTCTAAAAGTTACGTAGCTTTTTCGCCATTTTTATCGTAATGTCGGCTTGAATCAAAAAATATGTTCAACCGTTTCCTATTTCTAACGTAAACAGTGTTAAAACAAAAATCGTGTAGTCGATCATTTTGACCGGCGCGCTAGGTTCAGCGTTAATGCACATTTTAGCTCGACAAGAGGAGGCTTTTTACGACACGTACTGCTTACCAGAAAATTATCACGTCGACGAAGGATATGCGCGACAGGGAACGGCAGGACTTGCGAGACGATTCGCGTGATTTCGAGCCCGGATCCATCCCGATCGAGGATCCGCTGCAGAGATCGAGCAGCTCGCGTGGGGTGGTAGTAAATCGCTTGCGCGGTCCGCTTCTAATTCCACTCGTGTCTCGGTTGCAATCCCACGACAAGGTGGGAGCTTCGCGTGTCGGAGAGCTTTCGACGACATCCGAGGGATCCGCGCGTGCGCCACTCTGCTCGCCTCCTATTTCCCGTGCCACCCGGTATTAACTATAGGTACACACCTATCTGCGTCCCCGTCGAATCTCATGGCGCCAGTTTGAAGTACGCTCCTTCTGCGAATGCAGTCTCGCGTGGCCCGTCCCGCCAGCCGCCGCCGATTTTGAATCTCCCGCGCTGCCGCGACCGCGGTTTGTGAACCCTCTGCACCGTCCGCGACCCAGAACCGGGCTGCGGTTGTGCCGCGAGCTTTCAGAGAGATTCTCGAGTCGTCGAGAGGGAAGCCTCGAGCTTCTTGCAATCGAAGAACGACCAGAGTGAACCGTGGCATCCACCGGCCGAGCACCCAGTTTCTGTGTACACACGTGCGGTACAAGATACCATACTTGAGCGGCGCGGAGCTCGAACGTTCTGCTCGATCGACGATATTCTAATTAGCTCGGTTGTTCGATAGTTAAACTCGTTACTTTCGTTCGCTCGATTTCGTCTAATTTATTGGTCCAGCGGTTTCATTTCTATGGAATGAAAAGTCAGAAGAAACTCGCCGATTTTGCATCGCAGTGCTGTAGCTAAGTCTCGCATAACTACACCTCGTTCATAACTATGCCTCGTGAAATCGATAACAGAGTGCTGGAATTTTTGTTGCAACCGCTGCATCATAAATCGAACGCGTGTCCATCACTTCGCGGTTCTAATTGTTATGCGGTACGTCTCCGACGAACGGAGTCTGTTTATTCGTTCGCGAAACAAGTGGGAATCGGTCGGCGCGGAGACGAGGCTGCGAAGATAGGGACCGACGCTATCGCCGATGATAGCCGACAGACGAAACATCGCGCCGCCAAGTCTGGCTTAGACGAAACAACGCGAAACTGCGTGTTATCCGACGACGGTGCTATTTCGAACGGCGAGCATCAGCGCCGCTTAATATAGCGAACATTTATCTAATTAATAGCCATTAGCCGCGCCGTCCGATCCGCGATGGTTAGCTCCGCTCTGCTAGTTGGACGTGTTGTCCCAGCCCCGAAAGCTTCCTGTCTCCCGCCCTCCCCTGTCATCCCCCTACCCCGGGGTTGACACCTGTCACCGGCGCTGCGTCGTCGAACGATTTTCCCCCGTCCTTCGTTCATCGCCGACCATCGTCGATGTCTCCGCGAGCCGGTATAAATAACCGCGATTCGGATCTTCCTCGATCGTCCGATCTTTTTGCTCGCGGCGACGCATACTCGTGCTTGCCGAAGCATTCCCGAGGCCCGAGGCGACGAGCACGCCGTGGAAAACGTTCGCGTTGCACTTCCAAGGCTGCGAAAACGCTTACCCGGAGGCTCTTTAAAATTAGGATCGAAATTCCGGTCGAATTCTTTCGGTTCGCCATCGCTGGAATCTCTGGTATCGTTGGTATCGCCGGAATCGCAACCGTGAAATATTGTTGGATCAATTCGTCTGTCAATCTTCGAAGCAACATTTGCTACTCTTCGCGGAAAATATTCGATCGAGATCGTGGATACAATTGTTGGAGCATAATTCGAATTCGTCACGAAATTATTGGTATTGCGTACATACTAAATAATTGTTACCGAACAGTAATATTATTTACTAATAAATATTATTTATTAATAAATCCACAAACGTCGTGGTTTGTGCGTCTCGTTGATACCTCGAAGAATGAAGACGACGATAGAAATATCTAAAAAAATTGCCACAACGTTTGCAGACGATTAAACAGTTTCCAAAATCAATAATCAATTTCCTTGATGCGCGAAGACCTTTGCCATCGCATTTGCATCCATCGTTAATCATTAACCTCGTTCGTTACATCGAATACTTTTAGCCAGATCTCCTAAACTGAAGAGCACGGCCCACATTCGCGGGAGGACGAAGCGCGTCGCGCGGTCAGAAAATTCTAAAAATATTATTTATCGCAGAGTGAACTTCCCAGTATAATATCAACAAATCATCGTTGCCATACGCAAATAAATCGCGAATAAATAAGAAAGAAAATCGGCCGCGATACCGATAGATGCACGGTTCTTGGTGCAACAATCACCGCAAAAATCGAACGCGCGCCGATTACAACGTGATAACGCGTGGTATCGCGAGCCAAGCGTGTTATCGAGGAACGAAGTTTTTATCGAGACGCGGAGCTTTCATCGAGAGCCTCGAAACTCCGCGAGCAGCTCACGTGGCCCGATCTCGTGAATTTTCGCGGCGGATGATTCACGTCTGTCTCTTTTTTCTCTCTCTTCCCCTCTCTCTCTCTCTCTTGCTCGCTCGCTCGCTCTCTGCCACGGTTCGAGATCGAGCGCATCGGTTCGCCCCAAAGCAGCCCGCTCTCGGATCGTATTCCTGGCAAACGAATTCGCCTGGGTTGCGATTCTGTCGCCGATTAACTAGCAGAGCCGACCTCTGTCCTTTCTCTCTCTCTCTCCCTCTCTCTCTCTCTCGGTCTCGCTCGCTCTCCCCCTCCGATGATTCACCTGTGACGGAATAGCCGGTTTCCAGGTAATGCCATTTCAGAAATGGAAGAAAGAGAGTCGTTCCCCGTCACCGGGTTCGATTATATTAAGCCATTAATGGCCCCGCGGCTTGTATCGCGTTCTCTCGCGCGTCGAACAGTTATTACCTGCTGCCATTTCGCTTACGTCAATCCCGAGGTTGCAGCTCGGGCAGCCCGCCGCTGTCCAAATCGTTATTTATATGTCCGAGCTACGAAACTGCTGTCCGGCGATCAAAATTTGTATCGACGCGTGTCCGAAGACGAGCCAGCCGAGCGTGTTGCGGAGCATCGCCGGTGCATCGCCGGCTGGCAGTCACGATCGCAAGTACCCAATTAATCATCCTATAATTTCCACGGGCCCTCGTTAAAACGTCCTCTTCCGTAACCAGCCGGTAATTATGACTTTAGGTAGCGGCCGAGCCGCCCAGAGAACCAAAGATAGAAGCTAGATTTCGAGACGGGAGAGAGACTCCGCAGGACGGACACATGTCTCTATTCCGTTTCTTCAGCACGCAAACCGGTCGATAGAGGCACGCTGGAAGGAAAAGACAGGCCAGCCGTCCCGTTATCTCCCATGTTAGACTTATCGTGATAATCTCGGCACGACAGCGTATAGCACTCCGATTTTATTGGCTCGCCGCGATCCGTAGGGCCGCGATCAAAAGGACAGAGTCCTCGTACACGCGAGGATTATCGTCGTGTAACGCAATCCGTTCCCTTTCTTTTCGTCGAATCGCGGAGACCTTTGGCAGAAAGAAACGCGACTCTCTCCGTGTTCCAGTTAATCTCTAGGGCTACGAGCTGGGAAGGTCTGAAGTTGACGCTCTCGGTTTTGACGGAGACGCGGACGGGGGGAGGACCCTTCGGGCTGACTTTCCGAGACCCTTTCCCGCGCCCTTTTCCGCGAGCCGGGCCGACGAGCTCGCCGCGAGGATCCTCGGGGCTATAAATAACCGAGCGACTTCGTGAACCGTGGCGATTTCCGCAATGAAAATAAATCCAACCGCAGAGAAGCGTGCTCGTTCGCCACCGATCCGCTCGCGTCCAGTCGCTATCATTTTTCCGGAGACCGCTCGCCGGCGATCAAACAAACAAGCGGACTCCATACGAAACTATCAGCTTCCCGTCCGAGGCGCCAGTCTCCACAGAATCCCAAGAATCCTGTCAGCGGCTTCGTTCTTGCCGCGTTATTCCCGCCGACGTGTCTCAACTTAATTAATCCCTCAAGTGATCCGCGAAGTTCAGGAATCTCGGTACAGATTGCCTATCGGTTTCTTCTGTAATTAAATGGTTTCCTCGGTGAAACGTGGTTCTTTCGTTTAACGAAGGAACAGGTAAAATAAAATGGCCTACAAAATACAGCAAATTCTCCCTAATCGACGCACAGATTGCGCAGAAAAGTGGACAATTTGGGAAGAAGAGATACGATCGTCAGCGATTATAAAAACCTGATGCAAAGCTCGAATGATCGTATTTCCTCTTCCCAAATATTTCTGCATTTACAAGCTGGAGGAAAATTAGAGAGAATTTTAAGGTCGGTTGTTCGTGACAGACTACAGACAGGTGTCGATTCACGAACGATGCCGATGAGCGTAGATGGTATCCGAGATACGTAATCCCATAAGGCTTCTTAAGTACAATATACGCGCCACTTCAGACATTTTCGGACAGTCGATAGGTAGGGCTATTTCGGGGAGCTGATTCGACCGGCTCACCTAGTACATGAACAGAGAGTCTTGAAAGGGTTAACGGTCGTTTCTCGCGCAAGATCGAGAGGAGATGGTATTGCGGTCCGACGCGCGCGAAAACCGCGGTTCGCACGCGAGAAGAACGTTCGATCTTACTAGCCGCTTTCCATCGTTCGTTCGGCAATTAACTTTTTGCCCGGAGAAAGTATCTCGCGCGTGATTTTCCAGAATCCTTCGGCCGTGAACAGCGCGGAGGCCCGTCCCGCGGAGATGGTCGCGGTGTCGTCCCGATGACTCGGGAATCTTGTCGGTTGACCGAGGACTCTCAACGAGGAACGGAACACTGGTCTGCGTAATTCATTTCCGCGGGAGCAGAGAAATCTCTATCGGATCGGATCGCTGTTCTTCTCGGGGGAAGCTTCCGTGGTCGGAGATGAAGTTCGGAGGATCGGCGCGGACCTCGTCATCCTGAACGACAAACTGCAGAGGCGTCACACGACGCCTCATTTGCTGGCCGCGGCGGGCCCCAGGATGAGTCCGAAGGGGCCCAGCCAGGAGGGCCCGAAGATGGAGGTGCGGGTGTTCTGCGTGCCGACACCCGGCGCCGAGCCTCAAGGGATCAGAGTCAAGATCCCGGAGCCGAAGAAGCGGCCCATGAGCCCACCGATCCTGGAGACCATGCGCGCCAGGTGTCCCTCGGCCTCTGAAAAAGATTACTATAGAAAAACCTCGTCTCTGGACCGTCGGGACCGGTACCCCACGCTATCCGGCGCTGAGATCAAAAGGGGCCTGATTCCTGGCTCCGTCGAGTTGCCGAGGGGCAAGAGGAACCCCATGCTCGACAGGAAGAACCGATTCCCAACGATTTCCGGCGCGGAACTGAAACGGGGCCTCGCGATCGGCAAGTGCCCTTTGGAGGAGGGCCTGGACCTCAGCTTGGCACCCTGGCCTGGCATGAAGTGGGCCTGCGTCAGGGTCCTGCACCTGTACTGCAAGGTCTTTGGACAGTTCGAGCTGTTCGAGCTGATTGTTAGGTAATTTCCCGGCTTAGGTGAAGCTTCTGCAAGCTGGGGACAGGGAGGGTGCTAGAAAATGTTTGTTTATTTAAGTGACGGAAAAATGTTTTTCCATTACAAGAAACATGAGAAAGTAAAGTAGAGTATGCAATACGTAGCGAAGCAAAATAATAAGATTTTTGCCTGAAAATAGGAAATAAGAAGCAAAGCAACGAATTGGAATATATTTAAAGAAGCAGTACTTGAAAAAGATATTTTTAATTACTCTTAATAGACAAGATAGCGTAGCGTTTGAAGGCATCTGTGAAGGTAGAGGAAAAATCAACAGAGTGCGATACAGAATTTGCAGGAGCGCGTTTCGGAGGAAAATGATCGAAATTTGGGTAAATCTGATTAAAATGTAGGCGTTGCTCCGTACACCTCAAGGAATGATAAAAGCGTAATCCTTTATTCTCTATTAGACCCTTTACGACACGAGATAAGCTAGCGAAGTAGAATTAGCACCTGATGAACTATAGGGGATAGCTGACCTTAACGACCTTAAACGATATTGTTGCAGAGAATTCCACGACATTGTGTTCAGCGTTTCAATTCGGCGCGACTTTCATTATAATTAATACGAACTTGTCTCCGAGCACCTCGAGCCGTTTTTACCTCAAAGAATCTTACGGGCCGCGCGCCGCATTTAATACGAGTCCGTTCTTTTTTCTTTTCCTCGAACGACTTCGCCCGCGGAACGCCGCGACAAATCGTTCGGTTTATACATCGTCCGAGGAATTAATTGCGCCGGCATAGTGCCGCTGGCCTTACCAAACGACGCAAATAGGCGGGCGTGACGGCTGCGAGGCCTCGTAAATTATTTAGAGAAATTTTTACGGCGACAGAAAGAACGGAGTGTCGCCGCGGCTCATGCGATGCTTTGAGCTTCCTGCTAAACGATTATACGCATTCTTCGGGAAAGAGCCGCGCTCCGGCAACTTTGTACAGGGTGTCGGCAATAAATCAGCGCGACGTTAAAGATAGAGCGTTTGCAAGAAAGTTGCATGCAACGACGGTCCCGAGTGCGACTGGTTCCACCGGTACCTGAAATTTCGAATTTGCCGGCACGCTGCCACGTCGTCCGACTCCGTCGCGGAACCTTCAAAAAACGCTGTCTCCCGCAGAAACTCACTTTCGCGCGACCGCGCATGTTCGCCACGCGCGAATCTTGTTCGTTGTTCGAACGGCGCCGGTATAAAATGGATTGAAAACTAGGAACTCTCGCAACCCGGAAAAAGTGTGCCGTTGCAAAAAGTAATAAGGGTAAGCTCCACTCGTCCATCATTTCGACGATTCCCGCCCGGAACTCTCGCACGAAGATCTCTCAGAATTTATCATACGAACGGCGCCGGCCGACCAAGCCTCTAATAAATCGAAATTGTATTAATCATTTAGGGACACCCTGAACTCGATCGCAGCAGGGAACAAAGCAGTTTGTAGGGCCGCAGTTTCGGCGTGCCTCCCTCCGAATTTTTCTCGCGATTGCTGCCATTTGTTCGGGAGCAGTTCATCCGGCAGAATGCGGAGCCCTCGGAGAGCATTTGCTTTTTATGGGACAAGTCACTCGAGATTTGAAGGGTGGCCGAGAGCCCGGTGAATATATACGCGCGCCGAGTGTTCCGCTGCGAAAGCGGTCGAACAGCGTGGTTCTTTTACCGTTCGAAGGCGTTCCCCGGCTGATCGATTGCATCGGGAGAGCGAGTCGCTGCGCAAAAGTCTTGTTGCAGCCGGCACGCTAATGGTTGGACGTCAATCGCGTAAACGAAGGGGGTTGCATTCGCCGGAGGCATTCGCTCTACCGCACCCTTCCGGGTGTCAGCGCGAAGGTCGGCCTAATGCCAACACGATCCCCCGTCCCCCTCAGCATTCGATAACCGGACGACACCGGGTCGCTGATAAGTCGAGACCCTTATCGTTGACCAGAGAAAAAGAAACGGAGGACGTTGCTCCGAGTCGCTCGTAAATCCACGAAATCCGATTTAAGGGTGGGCCGGAGGGGCGAGGAAGAGTGCTCGTTAAATTTGTCAGTGGCAGCGGACGCGTTAATGGGCCGCCATAAAATCGGGTTTCGTAGGAACGCGAATCTTGTGGCGACCGGTCGATATTTTCGTCGATCGGGAACTCTACGGGGTGTCCCGGAAATCTCTCGCAATCCGGAAATCGGAGATTCCTCGGGTTATTTCAAGTATCTTTTCCCTTGGCGAAAATGCAGTTCGTGGCTTTGTTCGCGAGTTATTAATGAAAAATCAGCGACCAATGCGAGGCGAGATCGGCTGGCGCGAGACGACCGAGCCAATGAACGGAACAGGGCTTCGCGCACTGGTTGGCTAGGACGCCTCGCGCCAGTCGAGCTCGCCTCTTATTGGTCAGTGTTTTTCGTTAATAACTCGCGAACAAAGCCGCGGATTGCATTTTCGCTAAGGAAAAAGTTACTTTAAATGATCCGAGGAACGCTCCATTTCCGGCTTACGAGACATTTTTCGGACACTCTGTATACCACGAGACCGCGGAGCGGAACGCACGAGACTTTTCCTCGGAACCTTTCGGAAACACGCCGGGTCGAGGAATCGCTTAGCATAATGTCACGCCCGTAATGCCAGTGAAACGGTCACCTTGTTTGCCGGCGGACCGTAACTCGGCCGGCCCGCGAGCCCCGCAAAACAGCTTTTCAGCGATAAAGAATCCTCGCGGTCCTCCTTTTTCCATCCTTGTTAGGGGACGATAAGCTCCACGGACGTCCGCCGATATTTTACGAGGCCCGCGGACCCCTTCCCTCGTCGCGGGTGCATGCAAATTAACGTTGACGCCTCGTTAACTCCGCGAAACGTAATACTCGCGCGCGGACTATAATTCATCGCCGGGTCCGCGCGCTCGCGAGCATCTAAAGCGTTAGCGGCCCGATGAGAAGTTTATCGGCCGTGTTCGAAGCAACGATTTCTACCGCCGGCGAACGGAAGCGGCGATAAATAATAAACGCGGAAAAGCGCGCGCGACATCGCGCTTTGAACGGGAACGTCCGATTCTCGGATTAATTAGACGATTAAGCGGGGTGGTTCGTCATGGCGTCTGGTTGCAATAAAACTTGATTAGAGGCTCCAGCAGGGCCGAGCCGTGTATCTGGAGTTAATGAAGCGCCGGGGACAAATATTTATCGTTCGTGATATCCTCGGTTTAATAGATACGTCCAACAAGCCGGTGACGCGCGTCTCGGCGAACGGATTAGGGGTATGACGATCGCTTTCGTACAGCATTGTCTACGAGACGGAGATGGCGTTTAGAGATATTTTTAGACGAACGCAGAAGATTGTTAAAGGAAACGGAGCTAAAGTCTTCAGCTTCGATTCTTTCCTTCACGTTTGACTAGGGTTCTAAAGAGGACTTCTAGACTTCATTTTCGACGTTTTTTATCTTTAACCAGTTAGCTGTGTTCGACGAGTATACTCGTCATGAAGAAATGGCAATATTTTGTGACACGACGAGTATACTCGTCGTGCGTAAGAAGTAGTGACCATTGGCTATTTAAATTGTAATTTCAAGGAAAACGAAAACGTATTCTCACAAATCTCAAGATGTTCAGAATATTTTGAGGCCAATCCTGCACGAAGTTGTTTACATTGTTATAAGAATAAAATTAAAAAAGAATCACGGTATTGGTGTTCGACGTGCAAAGTGCCATTATATATTGTTCCTTGTTTTGCTAAATACCCCTCTCTCTACAGCAGCAATTTGAATTTTTAACTTTTATAAGCATTTGATTATCTCTGGGTTTTTCGTTTATTATGTATATGGTATATGTTAACGTCAAGTGAATAAGTAAATATTAGTAATAAAATTGTTAATTTTATCAAATAAAACCGTCCTTTTGATGCAATATTTTAACAGCGACACTTACATTGTGTTCGACGAATATACTCGTCGTCGCTTGATTCTCGCGACACATGTAGGTGCACGCTTTGAAATGAAGGCGCCACAGCTAACTGGTTAAGCAGTTTGACTAGGATTTCAAATGGGATAGAGTCTAAATCACCAGAAATAATTTCGTCGTCCTGCAAATCACCTAAATCGAGACTGACATGGGACCGCGGATTGAAAACAGTTATGGCATTATTAGTACTTCAAGTAGAAACAGAAGTAATAAAAAATAACAGTTATTGAACCGAATCGATGTTCAGGCTGTCCTGGGATTTTCCCGCCAAACCGCGAGGGTTAAAAGAAGAAACAAATCTTATACGAAGTTCGCGAATTAACGCTTTCTTGCAGAGATATAAACAAAAATAGATACTTTATAGCGAGTGTTATACCGAGTTTCGGTATTCCAGTCGTTCCTTTTCTTTACACGAGCCTGTTTCGCGATCGGAAGCGAGTGTTGATAAACACAGATCTATCAGATGTTCCTTGTAACTACTCAAGCCAGTGCATTTCTATTGCAGAAATCGTACACAAAGTGAATATCGGCGTATTCAGCGTTCGAAGATCTTGGCATTTTGATGCTAGTTTACTCGTCAATTGTCTGTTTATAAAGCTATTAGTATCACCACGGAACAACATACGGACTGAATCAGAGCTCGGTGATGTTTATCGTAAGACTTGTGTAGTTGCAGGTATATCGGATATATCTGCGTTTATCAACACTCAATTTTATCAATACTCGATCAAGTATCTAGTTTTATTTACGTCTCTGTAACAAAGCATGCATTCGCAAACTTTACATTACACGTTTTCCTTCTTTCGGATTAGGCCCACGCAGTTCGACGGGAAAATTTCCGGACACCTTATAGTAAATTCTCTCGAATCAACGCTCAAATTGTACACAACAATTAATAGACCTGATTAATTTAACCTTGACCTTCTCGGAGAGGAGGATTCAACCCTTTCTGCTTTTAAGCCCAGGCCGTACCATTTTTTTTTACAATTACAATAATCAGAACTTTTTCGATCGCAATAATATCTTAGAAGAAACAGAAACTTTATGTTTATTGTGTGTTCACGTCTACTTGAATGTTTAAATATCGGTGACAAGAGAATAAAATTTGATCGCGACTTGAAGGAACGGAACACGTTCATACCTAACAGATTATTTGAAAAACGAGACAAAACATTGCAAGCCAGGCCTTCCTCCGTCAATTCGCTGTAACATCCCCGCAACGTCGCACAAACTCGTGCAACGCCTTCGATTAAAAATCTTCCGTGAAATTTTAACAGGAATCTTTTCAATTCCTGCGTGGAACACTCTGATTTCCTCGCACAAGAAACCGGAGTGCATCGATCACCGAAGAAATTCGAGTGCATCGATTAAAACTTGACCAAGATCAGGCACTGAATGGTCGCTTTGTCTTTCCAGGAAGAACTGCACGAGCTGCAAGTGTCCAAGGGAGGCCCACGACGTGTGTCACGAGGAATGGGTGTCGGTCAGGTCTCGTCTAGGTCTGAAAGGCGAGGAATCCTCTTCGCCGGTCGGCTTCGATCCCCGAGCGAAGGGTCTCGCTTGGGCTCCTCCCGGCCTGCCAGCTCACAAGGTCGGTAATACATCAGTCCGGCCGGACGTTTATACGACTCGGTTTTCGCGGATCGTTTCCTCTTTCCTCGACAGTGGGGGACGGAGGGAGGGCTGGGCTGTCCGATCGGATCGCTTAGATTCAATAAACGAACGTTCAAGTTCAATCGTCCGGCTGCCGGCCGGATCGGTCTATTGCGTCGACGCGTTACGGATCACCGGTGAAACCGCGGCTAATGAGATTACGATCGTCGGGACTAGATGTTACACGCCTTCCGCGGCTAAGAAGCCGGGCGCGTGCACGCACGCTTGGCAGGCTTCCAGCTTCCAATATTTTCCGAATCGCTCGCCGTGAATTAGCGAGCCGAGCCTGGCCTCTATCATCCTCGAGCGGATGCTTTATCGGTTCGCATCGGAACCGCAGCCCACTCGGATTTTACGATCCTTTTGTCGCTGCCTCCAAATGTCCGATTTTTGTCACCGGTCGCCCCCTTTCCCTCAATATATTGTCGGAATTTCGAGAAATAAGTGAATCGAGCGACCTGGAGACACTGATCTGTTTTAGCCTTTTTTGCTCTCATCGAGAAACGGAGAGATCGGACTAATCGAGAACTCTAATCTGTAGATTCGGCAGGTTCGAATTGTGATACCAGTCCGTTTGATTCGCAGGTGGACGAGTATTTCGCAATGCTGCCAGAGATCTCTGTACCCAGGCTGGGCACGCCCGGCGAGCGGTACAGGGACCGACAATTGGCGATCCAGCTGCCTAAGCAGGACTTAGCCAGAACCTATTGCCGGCACTTGAACCCGAAACACGCCAGCAGCGCTGACGACTTCATGGCCGCGAGGAACGAGATCGCCCTCGACATAGGGAACGTGCAAGAAGTCCTCGAAAGGGATCTCGTGAGTCGCGGCATAATTGTTCGGCTAGCAGAGAATCAGGGATCGTCTTTGTTAATTTAACCTGGTCACCTTTCAGCATTGCGGTGCCTGTCTCTCGCCCCTCAAATACGGCAGTCTGGCCGTGTCCACGAGTAAGCTGGGTCTTCTCTATCATCCGGCTTGCTTCCAGTGCACGGAATGCAAGGAACTGCTGGTCGACCTCGCGTACTGTGTCCACGACGACACCTTGTTCTGCGAAAGGCATTACGCGGAACAGCTGAAGCCCAGGTGCGCAGCATGCGACGAGGTAAGCGCCGCCCTTAGTCCTTTGGGATTTCTTGATCAGCCCTTAATTGGCGAGGTCGCTAACGAGGGACCTCGATGCGCTCCCTCGAGTAGTTCATACTCTTTCATGTTTTCTTTCAATGAAAACTATATTTATACGTTCGGTAAAACAGTAATGCCACTGGTATTTTATTTTTAATACATAGGAGCATGATGTCGTTCGTTCTTAAAAATTAATGAACTGCTAGACACCTGACAAATTGAGAGTTGAAATCTTGTCTATATTAGAACAAATCGGCGACGATTCGCAGCAAAGTCTATCGCAAAAGGAACGAGAAGAACGTTCATATAATTCGCAAGGAAAAGTCTTGTTAACCCATTGACAGTGTATCCCGTGACGGTCACGGGCAGAGCGTCAAGTACCAAACGGTTTATCCCGTGCCACGCACGGGCAGGGTAAGGCGTTCAAACTGTATAGTCTACCAAAGGTATCTAAGATTATGACTAGGTTCTTCGCTTCCTCTATTTTCTAAGATTATTTTCAACATGAAAAAACTAGACATTTTTTGGACCAGAATTCGTAATTTTACCACACTGTGAAAGGGTTAATTTCGCAAAGCACGCCAAGTAGAACGAATCCCATCTCGTCAGACAAGTTACCGTCCGACGTTAGCCGGTCGGTAATCGACTGTCGGCACTCTACCATCGCCCGTGTCCACGAGAACCTTCTTTATCGACGACGGAGCTCCTTTTACCCGTCGAGTCTCGCGGTTCGTTTGAAATCGTTGCGCGGGAACGAAGGCACCGAACAATTTTAATGAATGAACCGCGAAGATAGTTTATCTTTTACCGCCGCTATCTGTACACTTTATTCAGTGCACAGACTATACCGCGGACGATACAGTTTCATCCGGAGATCACTGTCGACGATCACCGGCGACTCTGAAAAAGTTGAATAGCTCGGTCGGCGTTACGATCGTCGTTAAGAGACTTCGGAATCGCGGACGACCCAAATTTAATGTCCAGACACGGCTGTCAAGGTGCGCATAAATTACGGTTCACGCCAGCCGCGGTCGTTTTACTAGCTCGTAACTTCGCGGGAGATCGTAGACGGTGCCGCCGCGGTCGGTGCGAATGAATCTGAACGGTGGAAATCCGCCGAGTTTTTCCCAACGTTCCATTGCCAAAGATTCGCGGCTATGCTCGCCGGTTTCCACCGATCTCGATTAATCCGTAAACAGCGTGCGGTTGCTTAAAATATCTGGGGCATAATGATATTATGTGTCGCGCAATCGCGCGGCGTTGTCCGGCGGCGGGTTGCGCGGGAACTGGGCCGCTTTCGGCTTTATTTAGATGGACGGAAATAGGAATCGGGTATCGTACAAGCTTCTCCGTCACCGTGGCCCGACTGCGCAATGCGAATTATGCTCGGAAAAACGTGAATAACCGGCAAGGATTTGGCGAAAGCCGTGGTCTTTTTGCGCATACGCCTCGATGACTAACGATACTATCTAGTCACCGATACAGTTTTAAGCATTACTCACTGTGAGTAACTGCGCTTATCTTACCGTTCTCATTGCCAGCGTTCTTTGCCTCCTCAACGAAATAAATGGGCCGATTAACTCGACACGGCCTCTCTATTAATCGGCCCTGCAACAATGTTCCTTGCGATCGGTGAATCATCGATTCCCCTCGAACGAGGATCGTTCGATCCAGCGACGATCTCCGCCCCCGCTCGCGACCGACTCTTTTTCCCAGGGGTCAAACGACCATCGAACCGCTCGATCCACACGATCTCCGGATCTATTCGCGGATTCCTCGCGGTGGCGCGCGGCTATCTCGAGTGCTGCGTAACATCAGCTGCCGTCGTTCGTTACCAAGCGTCGTTCTCCCGTCCGTGTAACGCGGCTCTGAATTGGTTTTCTTCCAACCGGAAACCGGCCGTTTTCGACGGTGGCCATCGTGGCCGGTCGGTAATCTATTTTGATTTCTTGTCGAAGCTCCCACCACGCGATCGCGGTTCGGCTCTCCGTGTCCAGAGACGCGCCGAGTAGAACCGTTCCCGTCTTTTATTAGAGTCGGTCAATTGGAGGCGAACGAAAGTCCGGCGAACCGCGGGAATCGATCGAAGATCCCCGAGTTCTGTTCCCCGAACTCGCGGACAGCTGAAGCCGCGGACACCGGAACCTCCGGCGATCGAGAGATCCCCGCGAGCGCAGCCTCGATCGCGACCTATCGCGCGGCCAGTTGCAGACGGGCCCGATTTTCGGTAAGTCCAGTGTGCCCACGACACCCCAGACTCACACACGCATCATCGGCCATGGAGGCCGACCCGACCCGACCCGGCTCGGCCCGATCGATGGAACCTAATCCCGCGCGACAAAGCGGAGAGACGCGCACACCTGACGGACGAGTGTGGGATTGCCTCGCGGCCCTCTTTACCGATCCGAATTTACTACCCGCCGCCTAGCAGTAGTCGTAAATCGTAGCCTGATCCCCGGACCGGAGCGAGTGAACGATACCGGGCTCGTAAATACCGAGCGGGGAGAACAAGGACGCGTTTAGAGGAGGCGCAGCACGCCGCGAGGCCCTGTCGATCATCTCGCAAGACGGTCTCTGAGCCTCGGCACGGAAAACAAACGGTCTTTATAGAAAAGCATGGCGTAACAGTGACGCAACGGGCTGTTATAGCGCGCCGCCGTAAAATTCCGGCCGGCGTTGTCTATTTCGAGCGCGTCCCGTACCGTCGCGGTTCACGTGCCTCGTCCCTGCTGCGCAAAAATCGACGCCACGGCCTCTGCTCCTCGACCTGTCGTCGGGCTCTCCCGGCGCCCGACGACACCGGCGCGTCTCGATCCGAGAGCTTCCCGGCGAGCGGACGATTCTTGCCGCTCCCGATCGATCCTCGGTCTTCGCCGAAAAGCTCGATCTTTCCGATCCGGATCCGGCCGGAATCGTCGAAGTTCGAATTCGAGACGGATCCCGAGGCGTTGCGCGTCCAGTTAGTACAGCGGCAAACAATTTATCATTCGCTTGTTCTCGGCGATGATTTACGGCCGACGACAGGACAACATCGCGAGCACTTATAAATGGAAGAACAGGCCAACCGAAACAACGGCCGAGCCAAGAGATCCCGCGGTTTTTACGCGGTTCGAAGGAGATTCGGAGTGCGTCGATGGCGAAGTTCGTAGATGATCTGGACGCGGATGCTTAAGAAACGGCCTGCGCCGCGACTGCGAGTGATGAATGTCCGGCATTTTTACGTTGCCGTGGTCCGAAGATGAATAAACGCATAGAATTTGATTTATGGGAGCAGGATAAATGCTCGAAGTCTTGGTAGAATGATCTTCTTCTGCTCGGAAACGCACGCGAAACAACGAAAGAAAACGTTTATCTGGACGAGTCGCGCGCGCGCGCGTTCCGTGTCGCCTTGTTATCGTAACTTTTCCTCCGCGAGAATTAATCCTTAATTGTCCCGAACAATGCACGGTGACCTCAGTTTTCGCGTAAACTCGCGCCGACCGATGAAACAGATCGAGGAAACCTGTTGCAACTACGTAGCTCCTTGGATCGCGGCTATTGGACTGCGGGCGTTTACGTATCCATAACACCGCATTCCACGGCAATGGCAATAAAATAAAGAACAGTGTACTAAAATAATAAAGACTGTCGCAACGAAGATTAATGCGATAGAATAAGGAAGATTAATGCGACGAAGGTGAACGCAATAAAACACGGTTGCAGTAAAACACTGTAACGGTGGACTGTGAACGCAGTAAAACGCTCTAACATTAGACGCGCGCGCTGCTCTACGAACGAAATTATAAGATCTCGAATTTGCACGAACATCCACGGTTTTGGCAACAATCGTTCGCGCGAAGAGTAAAAGCGATACGAACGGATCAATAAATAACGTTTCTGTAAAGAGGAGGTTCACATTTATCGAGTGCTCGATTGATACACGTTGGTGGAACACGGGGCATTTTAACGAAACCGACACCGAGAATAGCCGGCGACCGTTTACACGGAGATGAATGGGATAAAATCGGATCACCGGGGCTCGGCAAAAATAATGGAGGGAGAGTCGACAGGGAAAGTCACGTGACTACGCGAAGGGTTGCATTGCTGGCGAGCCGCGCGTTCTGCGTGGGTCTTTGCTCTTGACCGCTTCCGTGTGCCCGAGATGAATATCCTGTCTATTCGCCTAAATCTCCCCACGGTGCTCTGCGAACTGGCTACTCAAAAATCGACTCTGCAAATCGCAAAGATCGCTAATTGATAAAATAGCTATCGTGAAACTGGGATCTATCACATCCATAAGAAACGCCAGGAATTTGGGAAGAGTTCCAAAGTGTCCCCAGTTAGCTTTCTATGATATTCAATCGGACACCATTATATCGAGATTATGGCGTTTTAACCCTTTGCAGACGAGTGGCGACTCTAAGGCGCCACTAAAAATTGTTATGTCACGTTTGAAAATAATGTTAACGTTATCAAATTTTCTTTATATTTATGAAACTCTTAATAGCGTAATTGTCGCACGAGCTACAAAATTCTATTTCGTATAAAACGGAAACACTATAGATCAGAAAAACTATTTTAAGTTTCGAGTTAAAATGGCTCCGACTGCAAAGGGTTAACCCTTAGCGCTCCGCGCGTTTCTCGAGTACTGCCTACCAGCAACTCCGGCTCATTTTTGGAGCGGAGCGCCTGAGGTAAAGGAAGTCTTATTTCGAGCGGAAAAGATTACACGTCCTTGTGAATGCATTTGACTTCATTTATTTTATAAATATACATTTTCCTATTGTAAATAAAAGATAAATTTTTAATTTTGTAATTCACCATGGTGTGATATCTTTGATAACAATCTCCCATGTGCATTCTGAGTTTACTTGGACAAGTGTCACAGTATTCGCTTTACCAAATAGAGTTACTAGATATTTCTTTCAAGTTTAGAACATTTTCTGCATAATTGTTGGTTTCCTTTGTAATTTCATTAACCAATTCGTCCGTGAAAAATAA